TTGGGCCTTAGGTTGCTGACCCCTGGTCCAGCTCTATCCCCTTCTGGGCGCCAGCTTTGTGTGCTACGATACTTTTTAAACAAGCAAGCTGAGGTCACTTCAAATGTACACACAATTGTGTCCTTATGGTCTTCCTGACAGGCCTTTTTTGCAAATTCATCCATGATTATCTGTTTTCCCCACTTGTGGGAACAGCATGTCCTTGTAGAACATTAATTCCAAAGGCACGGGGCTTGTTCCAGTAGGACATCAGTTCCAGGCAATGAAACGACGGAGGGGAGAGATCCATATTTGATCGGATGCAACGCTTGCTGCCCCAAAGATGGCAGTGTGAAACTCGACTCTCTGTTGAATAGGAATGAGTGGCGAAATGGTGTACAGAGGGGAAAGGGGTCACATCGTCGCCCGTTCCTCTCTGTGTGTCAAACCGGCACTACAGCAGGCTGTCCGTATTAGCGCTTTGTTAGGAAGGAGCTGCCACACAAGGACAAAATTGCTTCCGCCGAACCGACCTCACGAACAAGCCGTGAAGATGAGCCTCAGCAGGCTTCCAGAAGAAGAAGAGAAGAGTTTGGATTTGATATCCCGCCTTTCACTCCCTTTAAGGAGTCTCAAAGCAGCTAACATTCTCCTTTCCCTTCCTCCCCCATAACAAACACTGTGAGGTGAGTGAGGCTGAGAGACTTCAGAGAAGTGTGACTAGCCCAAGGTCACCCAGCAGCTGCATATGGAGGAGCGGAGACGCGAACCCGGTTCCCCAGATTACGAGACTACCGCTCTTAACCACTACACCATACTGGCACCATACACCTCTGTCCAAAACCGACAAAGGTCCACAGTTTGGCCCTTCTGTGACTCTTGCATCCGGCTATAACAGACCACTGTATTTTAATTAACAGACCACTGTATTTTAATATTTTGTTGGAAGCCACTCAGAGTGGCTGGTGAAACCCAGCCAGATGGGCAGGGTATAAATAATGAATTATTATTATTATTATTATTATTATTATTATTATTATTATTGAAAGGCCTGCTGAGGAAGATGAGCAACTGATGAGCAGACAATGAAAAGAGAAAAACCAGAACCTTTCCGTGTTTTGGAACGTACTGCCAAGGGAGGTCACGATGCCCACAGAGAAGAAAAAGGGCTTTAGATCAGGATTAGACAAATTCATGGAGATTGGATCTGTTGGTGGTCAGAAGCCATGACAGCTAAACAGAGCCTACATGCTCAGAGGAAGCCTACCCAGACCCTCCAACATTCCTCCGGTGAAAATAGGGACATTCTATTCTACATTCGTGTCACCATCCCCACGGCCCCTATAAATGCTTACTGCCAATGGAATACAGTCGTACCTTGGATGTCAAACACCTTGGCTCCTGAACAAATCGGCTCCCGAACGATCGAAACCCGGAAGTGAGTGTTCCGGTTTTTGAATGCTTTTCAGAAGCCGAACGTCCAGCACGGCTTCCTCGGCTTCTGATTGGCTACAGGACGCTCCTGCAGCCAATTGGAAGCCACGCCTTGGTTTTCGAATGGTTCGGGGAGTCGGACAGCCTCCCAGAATGCATTCTGTTCAAAACCAAGGTACGACTGTATGGGAAACGGATGGGTCTGTCTGAGCTGCCCCAACGGCTGTTAGCAAGAGGCATGTGTAAAAACGTCTTGGTTATATGAGGGAGTCTTAGATGATATATGGTAAAACCATGAGGCTTCCATCAGCCCACCTTGGGCGTCAGAGGAGGGACCTGTGTCATTTCACAAGGCAGTACTTTTGCGCCAGCAACGTAGTCTCTATGGTCAGCGACTAGGACCACCGAAGGGCCCCTGTGTGTCTGCAAGAGCCGGGGCCCTTAGACCGCTCCTGCTGCCGCCATCTGTCAGGGACCTTGCTGAGGACGGCTGCATTGAGGAAGAATGGTGGGAGCCACCCTCTCCCCCTGATCCTAACCCTGAATCTCCCCAGGAGCAGGAGGACAGCATAGATTTGGAACAGTGGTTTGCAGAGGGGCATTGTTCAGAAGGCAGAAGCTGGGAAATACTGGATGGGGAATAGCTAGCAGAAGAAACACTAGAAGAGAGAGAGAGTTCACAATCTCTGGAAAGCATTCACACACCTTCTCCAAAGTCACAGAGAGCTCAGAAAGTGGCAGAACAGAAAGCACAGTGGGTACAAGCTCAGATTACAAAACGTAGGAGTGACATAGATTAATAGGGACGGAGGGGCGAGTGTCCCTGGTGTGATGGCCTGGGATTCGGACTCAGATGCTGAACATGAGAGATCCCAGCTTGCACAGGATTCCCCGCCTCCAGAACCAGCTGAGCCGGGGCTGGGGCATGAGCCTGAAGGGTCCTCACCTGTGCTGGATCCTCATGTGCAGGCACCAGCTGAGTCTGCTCTGGCTCCTGAGGTGATGGAGGACCCATTGCCTGCAGGTGCTCCACTCTCAGCCCCGTCAGGGGAAGCTGAGGTTGCCTCTGGGTCTGGTAACCCTCCAGCCTCTCCTGAGCTGCAGAGGCTCAGGGCAGAGAGGCGGAGGGACCTAAGTTCCTGCAGGAGGAGTGCTCGCCTCCAGGCCAGGAGAGGCGAGTCACCAGAGGATTGGGGCCGCCCTATGCCTCAGGGCAGATAAAAGCCGGCCAGCCCCAGTCCCAGGTTGTGGGAGCAACATTGTCGGTTGCTAGTTCCTGCCTGAGCCCTGTCCTGCTTTCCTGCCCTTCCCCTGGCTCCCTGATTGCAAGCCTGTTCCTGACTTCACCCGCCTCCCTGCCCTGCACCCAGCTTCAGCTACTACGGACTGCCTCCACGTTGCACCTTTGACCACGGACCGGACTTGGACCTTTCCTCTCGGGTAACCCATGGGACCAGCACACCTTAATTGGGAGCACCGCCATTTCTAGGATATGTGTTCTTTGTTCTCTCGCTGTGATTATTAAAAATTCTAACTGTTAAGGCGTTCCTTTCGTTTGATCTTCTTATCTACTGCCATGGAGGGAGGAAACCGATTCCCCAAAGCCTGACACCATCACTGTTGTCAGATGCGTTGAGTGGAGCTGAGGACTGCAGCAGTGACAGCAGGAATCCCTCCTCTCCCCTTGGGTCCTGCTGTGCCACCATGAGGGGCCAGGCTGCCACCTCCTCCTCCTCCCCATGCCTCCAGCCAGTCCATGACAGTAGCGCATGGTGAGGAACATCACATGCATGCAAATGCACACACACCCTTTCCTGTTACCTTCACACCAACACCAGGCTGGGAGGGGTGTAAATTTGATTCAGTTTGCATTTAAAGCTGAATCTCAAATTTGCACGTTCCGAAAAAATATGAGAACCGAATCACAGCTCAAAATTCACCCAGATTTTGCAACGTCAGTTTCTCCGAGCGAATAAGCCCTCGAAAAATGAATACATATCGGGAAAGCGTGCATAAATGTGTGTGTATCGCTGAAAATAATATACAAGAACGCATTCTGGTCGGATGGATTGTTTGAAAAAGCATGTACCCTGTATGCAAAAAAAGAATTTGTTAGGTGAAATTTGCGCTAAAAGGCTGGAGAATTTTCGCAAGGATTTTTAAGCAAAAATGGCAGAAATGTGGAGCCCTGAATTCAAAATGGAGGAAATGAGAAATGGAGAGAACCAAAACTGACTGATCCTTCAGCCCTAGCTGAAAGACCAAGGTTACTCAGTGAGCTTTGGGGCTGTGTGGGTCTCCCTGTTCCTTGTCCAACACTCTTTTCTTTTTTAATAACTTTTTTATTCCAAATTAAAACAAAACATATTATCCAGAAACATATCATCCTTATTTCCCCTCCATTTTTCCTCCCTCCCCCCACAGAACCCCACCCCACCCCCCAACTTCCCTCAGTTTCAGACTTTGATTTCTCTAAAAATGCTGTTTTCTGCATGTTACACAGTTGTATAGATCCTCAAACTATTTAGCTGATCATTATCAATAAAAGGGACGCAGGTGGCGCTGTGGGTTAAACCACAGAGCCTAGGACTTGCCGATTAGAAGGTCGGCGGTTCAAATCCCCGTGACGGGGTGAGCTCCCGTTGCTCGGTCCCTGCTCCTGCCAACCTAGCAGTTCGAAAGCATGTCAAAGTGCAAGTAGATAAATAGGTACCGCTCCGGCGGGAAGGTAAACGGCGTTTCCGTGCGCTGCTCTGGTTCGCCAGAAGCAGCTTAGTCATGCTGGCGACATGACCTGGAAGCTGTACGCCGGCTCCCTTGTCCAATAAAGCGAGATGAGCGCCGCAACCCCAGAGTCGGTCACGACTGGACCTAATGGTCAGGGGTCCCTTTACCTTTACCTATCAATAAAAAGTTTGTGAATGTTTATTCAAAGCCAGCCAAGGAGTCCAGTTTGCTTTGTTGCATCTTCAAATACAGTGGTACCTCAGGTTACATACGCTTCAGGTTACATACACTTCAGGTTACATACTCCGCTAACTCAGAAATAGTGCTTCAGGTTAAGAACTTTGCTTCAGGATGAGAACAGAAATCGTGCTCCGACGGCGCGGCAGCAGCAGGAGGCCCCATTAGCTAAAGTGGTGCTTCAGGTTAAGCACAGTTTCAGGTTAAGAACAGACCTCTGGAAAGAATTAAGTACTTAACCCGAGGTACCACTGTACTTTGTAAAGGGTTCCCATTCATCTTTAAAGTCACAGTTATCCTTGTCCCGTAGGTTGTATGTCAGTTTTGCCAACCTTGTCTAACACTCTCAAATACCACTACACTTCTGTGCAAATGCATCTGCTACAAGCACAGTAGCACGCCACCCTGGGGAAAGGTCTCTGTCCCAGCTATATGCTTAACCTACCAATGGCCGCTTCTCCATGGGAGTCCTGTCAGTCAAACTGGCCACCCGTGGCAGCCCCTGGTCACATGACAGAGTGCGTCCTGCCCAAAGGGTCTGCCTCCATCACAGCTGCATTTGCATGGGCAGGAAACAGAAAATTGGCAAGGGAGAGGCCTCGGCACTTTCAGTTTTTCAAAGGCAGAACTGAGAGCTGGTTGTGTTTTCGCTGGGCTCGAGTTGTCATCTTCAACTGGCAATGGCGCCTTATTTCCTCCGGGTCTGCGGAGTGTTCTGGGTGATGCTGGGAACCTGCTTTGTGGTCACAGGTATGGCTTCTTCTTTCTCGTCTTCTGTTCCCTTCAGTGAAATGGGCCAGTCGGTTTATTCACAGCAGGACGGCAGGTTGAGGGGACAATGGGCCTGTCTCAAGCCAGATGTTGCTGGACTCCATCTCCCAGTCAACATAGCTAATGGTCAGGGATGAAGGCAAGGGCATCGTCTCCTTGGGGTGAGATACTTTGGGGGGCCCTATCTTTGTTAGGGTCTGGGCCCCCTCAATATTCTTTTTTTTATTTAAATTTTTATTGATTTTAACATATAAATTATAAAATGTACCACAAAACTTATCACTTATACAATCTTTTTAGACTTCCATCAGCACCTCTGATGATCCACTGTTTTAACCACTTCCTATGCATTTCTTAACTTTATATTGCCTTTACAAATCATCCTTCCCCTTCTCCAATTTTGCAATACTTCCAATAATACTCCTCACAAAACTTCTTGCAACCCTACAAATGTCGTCTGTTCTTCACAAATACTTTTCAAATAGTCCGTAAATTTACTCCAGTCTTCCTTGAATTTCTGGTCCCGCCGGTTTCGAATCCTTCCTGTCAGTTTATCTAATTCTGCATAGTCCATGGGCCCCTCAATATTCAGAGGGCCCCCTGCCCAATTTCAGGACACAGCATCAAGACCCCTCTAACATCTGGAGAAGCTGGCACCTCTGGAAAAAGCAGAGTTCCAGCCTAGCAACATCTGGAGGATTACAGGTTTCCCTCCCTGGGTAATTTCTAAAAAGAGGGAGACACTGGGCCTCAGACCTGCCTAAAAACTCAAGTTCTCTCACTGTAATAATCATAGTCTTCCTCCTAGGGCTGGAAGGTGAAGCGATGTTTAGTTCAGGACTCAAATTTCAAAATTGTGCTCACATTTGAAACCTGTGTAAAATGTGGTTCCAGTTAGACGTTAAATCACCGGAGAGCTTTGCTTTGTCTTGTTTTGTTGAAAAGAGAGAGATCTCTTCACCTCCGCCCTCCCTTTCGCTGCCATTTTGTGGTTTTTCACCTTTTATGCACATGCTGTAGTTTCAGAGAAGGCGACGCGGATACGCTTCATCGCTGCCCGGTGGGGCAGCCAAGTGTCCTTCAGGTGCGTCTCCAGCTCTCCGGCAAATTGGTACAAAGAGACGGAGAAGGGCAAGCATCAGGAGATGGTGAACACTTCCAGAGTCCAGGTGCTGAGGAACGAATCTCTGGTCCTGATGCACATCAGCAAAATCCAGCTCACCGACAACGGCATCTACTTCTGTGAGAACAACAAGACACGAATTAGTCGGCAGCAGTGCTGCGGCACTGAACTGCGAGTCATGGGTGAATAGCTTTAATTTGCTTCAATATTCCTTTTTCCTGCTTCCAGGGTCCTGTAATCTGTGGCTGTGAGTAACCATGAAGCAGGGCTCTGCCTTAAAGTCTACCTTTCCTGGGCACAGACCCTGCAAGTGTCCCTATTTTCCAGGGACACCCCTGATTTGCGTCGACAGGCGGAGTCCCCCAAACCCTGGGCGGCCCCCCCCATGTGGAATAACGACTCAAGACAACGTACTATGGGATTAAATTGGCCACAACTTTATTATATTTCAGATGTGGGTAGACCTTGGCTCAGGCATTGGGCGTTATCCCTCCCCGGTCCCCCACCGGGGATCTGGGGAACATCAGGGTTATCCAGTGGGGGTGGGGGGTGGGCTGGCTCTGGAGAACATATGTTCAAGCAGAGATACCTGTGGAGAAAAGGTTAACCTGCAAAATATGACTTAACTGAGGGTGGGTAGGGTGGGAGAAGCTCTGGAGCCAAGTGAGGATTCCTAGGGAAGATCCTCCCTCTATTGTGTGGGCAGGTAGTCCCTCCCCTACCTGGACTGGTCTCCTTGGCAACGCTTCCCCCAGGCGGGATTGGACAACTGACTGAGGTAGGCGGAGACCTCCAGGTATCCCACCTGAGGGAAGGCTAAGCCAAGCCTGTGCTGATGGAGCCGCTCCAAATCCAGGGGCTGTGCGCGTCCACGCAAAGGGCGCCCCCCGTTTAACGCGGGGAGTGGTCATTACAGAAGCCATCCCAGTTTCTGATTTGATCCTGGAATGTCCCGCTTTTCCTTAGGACGTCCCTATTTTCATTGGAGAAATGTTGGAAGGTATGGAGTAATCCGACCCCTGAGCCATATGAAGGCAGTTCTGTATAGGGAAGTTTTTTTAAAAAAAAAGTTGAATGTTTTATTATTATTATTTTTTATATGTTGGAAGCTGCCCAGAGTGGCTGGGGCAACCCAGTAAGATGTGTGGGGTATAAATGGTAAAATTATCATTATGGAACGGGGTGTCCCTCTTTTCATCGGGCACATGTAGGGAACAGCCACATATTCACAGGGAAAAGGTATTTCCTGGCATCTTGGATTGTTTCTGACCCCATTTAGAGGCCCATGCTTGCTCTGTTCAATCAAAGGGCAGGATTCAGTTAATGAGTCTTGTTAGTGGAAGCCCAGAACAAGGGTGTCCATTTGTGCGATGGAGCTTTCTTCCCTCCTCTTGCTTCGCCCTCCAAAATTGGCTCTGGGGAGGTGGAGGGGTGGCTCCGGGAGAGAAATTGGCTCTGGGTGAGACACCCCCCGCCCTCATGGAGGAGATGGGTGGGGTTGTTCCTGTCAGGAGCTCATCCTACTCTCGAGTAGGACCCTGGCAGAGACACATGCCCGATTGGCATGTTCCCTCCCTCCTGGTCGATCGTTCAGGAGCTTCATAAGCTTTCTTCTCCCTGAACATCACAGCAACCGATGCCAACAGACACCGGCACACTTAGAGATCTGCAGAGTCTTCACAGCTTGCGTAACAGACCTCAGCAACTCAGCATTTTGGCTAATCTACTTTATTTACATATAAACACACACAGAGCACTGCAACATGGCTCCCTCTCTCTCTAGCATCAGACAGCAAAGAGAAAAAGAACAAAGGACAATAGTCCTACTTCAAGGAACACAGTAACACAAACATCCTGTCTCCGTCACTTCCCACTCCATGGAGTCAAAACATACACCGTCATGTGATAGACAAAAATCCCATGACTGCAATCACGGAGCAGGAATTCTAACAGTTCCATCCAGCGAGTCACAATGTTTACACTGACAGAACCATCACCGTAGCACAACACTGGATTCCACCAGAGCCCTGGATGCTTATGCAAATGCAAACCATGCCCACAGTCGCACTGCATTGTGGGCTTTGCAGTCTGTTGTATATTATAGCAGGGAGCTGTTCCCGTTCAAAGACGAAAAGGAAACCATAGTCACATTGCAGCCAAAGGTGACAGACCATAGGCTGAGCTAAGTAATGAGCTTATCTTGTCTTCGTTCTAAGGTATCAGCACATTTCAGCAAGTGCAGAATCGAAACACCCTGAAAGATGCCATCATCGTGATCCAGACCCTTCTTATTGTCCTGTTTGTGAGTGTTCCTGTGTTTCTAACTATGGGGAAGGTAAGTGAATTGGGCCTTCTGTGGAATGCCAAATTCTGACATCGCTAGTGCTCAAGCGCTGCTACAGCGCAATGATGTAGTCCTAACATCTCATTCCTTTTAATAGCCTGGTTTTTTGTGTTTTTTTTGAGACATTGTGCGTATACAGCAGTAAATACAAACAACCCATTTGCAACAAGGCCATAAAAACTGACATGTGGCAAGTCTTTTAAGGTTCAGCCTGCAAGTAGCACCAGCTCAATCAAACTGGGAAGTTGTAGCGTATTGTGTTTTTAATATTCAGTGGGAAGCAGCCCAGAGTGGCTGGGGAAACCCAGCCAGATGGGCGGGGTATAAATAATATTATTATTATATTATAGCGCTGTTTCCTGGCTGCATGCAAAGCAGAGCCAACAGACCACAGCCACTGGGGAGCTGGTTCCACAAAATCAGAGCTACTGTGAAAGAGGACCTGTTCTGTACTTTCCCAAGTCCCACCTCCCATGTAGAGAGACTGGGCTTTGCACAGAACCTCCATGACTGACCCTACTGGGTAGCCACTTCTTGTTTCTAGCATGGCATTGCAGAAGTGTAATAGACAAGAGATCAGATGCTGGGACAGATATTTAAGAGAGAGCTTCAATGGGTGTCAGGTTCCATGAGTTCTCAGAACCCCAGGGGGTCTCTCACCCACAGTGACCCCTCTGGTGGGTTCCTTATTCAAAGAATTTAGTTACTCAGTCTCATCATAGGAACCCGGTCTACAGTGGTACCTCAGGTTACATACGCTTCAGGTTATATATGCTTCAGGTTACAGACTCCGCTAACCCAGAAATAGTACCTCAGGTTAAGAACTTTGCTTCAGGATGAGAACAGAAATCGTGCTCCAGTGGCGCGGCGGCAGCAGGAGGCCCCATTAGCTAAAGTGGTGCTTCAGGTTAAGAACAGTTTCAGGTTAAGAACGGACCTCCGGAATGAATTAAGTACTTAGCCCGAGGTACCACTGTATTCTGTTATGTACACAGTCCTTTCTTCTGTCAATCTTTCCTCTCCTTCTTATCCTCTTAGTAGCTCGCCATGTCAGCTTAATAGCCCCAGCCCCCTTTTTCCTATTCCTCTTTCTTTTACCCTACACTTTGTCCTTACTGGGGCCATGCCATTTTCCTCTGTCCTTCATCCCTTTTCCCCTACACTTCCTCTGTCTTCTCCCTTTGTGTTTCTCTCCTCCTCGCCCTCCTGGCTTCCTCTGTGCTTCTCTTCTATGTTTCTTGTCCTCCTCCTCCATGTTGGGACTGACACCAGGCACACAGCAACACACCAACTTTTAAAGAGCTGCCCTCTGCGTCCATCTCTGCACAGCTCCACTTCTGGTCCTGATGCCTCCAGGTTTTGCTGGACCAGCCAAGGAGCCTCTTGGAGTCAGTCAGTCAGTCAGTTTTATCGCACATAGCCAAAGGCTGCTGCAATGTACACAGAATCATTCAACAATTAAAAGGAAATTTACTGGATTGATACAAAAAACTTAAAACTTTATATTACCAGGACATTACCTACTCTAAACAGAGCTATAAAAGTACCTTAATATACAAGTTAAGACATTAAACAATAATATTTATAAGCTAAAATTATCACATGGCCACTAATATATTAAAAAGTAATGTTAATTAATACAATGTGCAATTATATTCGGAGCTTGGTGATAAAGATAGAATATAGCTTGATGTAGATAGGGTCAAATAAATTCATCTCCTTTATGGTTGGTGGCTACCTTGGCTATATAATTTGCTCTAATTTTCCTAGCAGCAGTTGCAAAGACTGCTACACGCCAGGTCACATACTTATCTGTGTCTGTGAGGAGATTTAAAATCATCTCAGAAGGGTTCTGGCCAGGGGACCTTGCCATTATAGGTGCTAAAAATCTTTCTCTTGCTTCATTATATAAGGGGCAGCGCAAGATATAATGCATAAGGTCCTCTACTTCAGGACATCCCTTAATGCAAACACGTTCGTTTGTTGGTATGCCTCTGTGTCTCCCATCTCTATAAGCAGAGATTATTGTATTTAATCGTAACTCTGTAAAAGCTTTCCGAAGTTGCACAAAAGTCAATTCATAAAAATAAGATGTATATTCATAGTCCTCTCACCAAGGACTGCTTCTCAAAGGGTTTAGGGCCTTCTCAAGATGTACGGATTAATCTGAATCACCCATGAAGTCCCATGAAACTGTGTTGCTTGGTAGTGTGCATAGGTATTTTTTAGACCATCTTTAGCTGAACAGGTGCAAGTCTGGCTCCAAGTTTTGGTAGGCCTTTGGGCAACACCATCTTGCTGCCCGCCAGCCCTGGCACAGTCCCTTCAGCATCATCTCTGGCAATTTCCCCAAAGCCCTTGTTTGAGACAATCCTGCTCTGTTACTCTGCTGATTCCCACCCAACATTTGCCAAGGTGAGGGATGCTTCGCTAGCCGTTCCTTTTCAAACAGAGACTAAACAGCTTGGAATAATGTGACGCTGTTTCTCCTTCAGGGTGATGGCAAGGATGAGTCGGCTGAGGACCACACTTACGAGGTGAGCAACAGAGTGAGGTATTTTCAAAATGGTAAAGCTGGAAAGTGGGGTAGTCCATCTTGGGCAGGAGAGAGAAGAGAAAGTACAGAAATTCATTCAGACATCAGCCAAGGTAGGAGCAAACAGAGCCTGGCTAGAAGCTGTTAGTGGAGCACTGGGTTCAGAGAGGAGAAGAAGTGTTCATCTTGCAGAAGTGGTGCTGGGGGGGACGGGGGACGGACGGACAGACAGTATATGTGTGTCAGCATCTTCACACAAGTGAAAGAGAAAAAGGAGGAGGCCTAAGTGAATAGGGGAAGACAATGGTGTTTGTATATGCCACGATCTGTGTTCAGGTGACTGCTGAGCGCTTTAAAACAATTGTGTGCCTGTTGTCTGGCGAGAGAGAGAAAGAGTTCGCAGAGAATGGACATAGGGAAATATATCGAAATCCAAAGCCATACCTGTAAATTTATGTGGTTCTGTAATGTCATTCGGATCCAGCCTTTTCATTGGTACATTTGAGGAATTGGGGGGTGGGGGGCGACCCAGACCAAAGCAATTACAGCAAACCAACACAAAAATATTGTCACAAATATGAAAATCATGTTTGGTTCATAATTATTACGAATCATACATTTCTGTGATTGTGGGGTGGGAAGATAGAAGGCTGGGTTTTTGCCCCTTCTACCTGCTGCTGCCCATTGATGGTTGCCACCCATAGCTGTCAACGTTTCCCTTTTTTTAAGGGAAATTCCCATATTCCGAATAAGATTCCTCGCAAGAAAAGGGAAATGTTGACAGCTATGTTGCCACCTGGGTGCATTTTGGCCAAGCTGAACTGTTTTCAGGTGTGCAAGCCGTTACTGGTGATTTAAAAGTCAGTGATTGATGGATATGTATTTGTCTAGGGCAAGAGTGGATCCCTGCCTTTGTATACAAACTTTTCCCCTTTTCCCTTTTGCTTCTTCACAGGGGTTGGCGGTTGAACTAGCTGATACATATGAAGACATTTGTACTTACCAGGACAGAGTAACAGACAAGTGGAATCTGGGAGAAAGTCCAGGCGAGGAGTGAAAAGTTTTGCAGCATCTTTGGCAAGGTGTGCCACACCTGACTCGGGAACAAGTTTTGCTTGGCTACAGTGCTCTCGATGCAGCTCTCGCTTGCTTGCTTAGCTATCATCAGCCGAACAGCTAGATCAAATGTGGTACTCCTTTGCTCCTGATTCCTTGGGCATTGGGTTTGTTTTTAAGAGGCACCCAAAGCTGGTGTAGTGGCAGACCCTATTTAGGGGAGCTCCCCTCCTTCCCTCCCCATACAAGAGGAAAACATAAAATTGTAAATAATAAAATCTGAGCATGGGTTTGATTCTCACATACGTTTTTTTCTAACAACAGTTTGCTTGTCATAAATGTGCGTTCTAATTTGAATGGGTTTCCTCCCACACATGCACACATCCTCAATTCTTGAAGCTGCTAGATTTAGGGTGGTTTTTAAAGGAAAGCCGGATATTAGAAGTGTCAAATTCGGTAAGCCAATGCCAAACGTAGGGATGGGGGAGCCATTCAGTTCAGTTCTCATTTAAAGGTGAACCAATGTAATCTGCAAGGGACACGGGTGGCGCTGTGGGTTAAACCACGGAGCCTAGGACTTGCCAATCAGAAGGTCAGCGGTTCGAATCCCCACGACGGGGTGAGCTCCCGTTGCTCGGTCCCTGCTCCTGCCAACCTAGCAGTTCGAAAGCATGTCAAAGTGCAAGTAGATAAATAGGTACCGCTCCGGCGGGAAGGTAAACAGCGTTTCCGTGCGCTGCTCTGGTTTGCCAGAAGCGGTTTAGTCATGCTGGCCACATGACCCAGAAGCTGTACGCCGGCTCCCTCGGCCAGTAAAGCGAGATGAGCGCCGCAATCCCAGAGTCAGCCCCAACTGGTCCTAATGGTCAGGGGTCCCTTTACCTTTTTAATGTAATCTGCATTTTTTAAAACAATATGCAAACCGAAACACAGCCATCCCTCGAAAGGCAGGCCGCTCTGAATTTTGCAGTGCAGTTCTTCAGCCAGGTGATATGCAGAAAGATGCATATGCTAAAGCATAGCGTGCAGAAAAAATGCACATATTGGTGAAAATGATATACCACAATGCATTGTATTAAGGGGAACTGCTTTGTCAAAATGTGCATCATAGTCTAAATTGCAAATAAACATGTATACTGGGAGCAATTTTCCTAATTTAATAATGGAATAATGGAAAAGCGGAATAGAGATAATGAATATTAAATCAAATCTAAAATGTGAATGAATTTTCATGAATTGCTGACGTGTGAAAATGTGGAGTCCCAAATATAAGTTTGGAAAAATTAGAAGCTGAAATTGATAGGTTCACCGATCTCGAACCAAACATTAGTACTTTAAAACTAACCAAGAAGACATTAAGGCATAGCACACAATCTATTGAAATGTCCTGTCATCTGGCCAGGACACTCCAAATTTTTATCACCTTTATGACCCCCTCGTAAGATTTAATGTATTGCCATTTGCAGTTCTGCAAGGTAGATTTTCGAAAATCCCATATTCTGAAAGGTACTGCCTTTGTGGCACAAAACAGGTTGAATCTATCACACGTTTTATTTTATTGCCCATTGTGTGTGTGTGTGTGTGTGTGTGTGTGTGTGGAGGGGATCTATTTCACCGACTCTTCCAGGGTGTCCTTTCTGCTGAATAACTGTAGGAATGATGTTGTGGAGAATGTGGCAAGATTTTTGTGTGATGCCATGAAACTACATCACCCTAGGTCCCAAGTGCCACCTTTGTACCTCACGATGTCTGGACAGCTTTATCCTAAAGTATCTCCTATTATGACTTGCTGCCAGTGTTGTGTTTTAGTCCGTGTATACGACACACTCTTTCTATGCCAATAAAGGAGACTGAATTCTACTGAATTGAGGACTCCTGTCAGCAAAGCTTCAGTTTCACAGCTCAGACTAATCTCAACGATGTTCGTGCAAGAGAACCTCCCTTGTGCCTTTATTTTTCAAAAGTTGCTCTCCAATAAATTTTTCAAAAGTGATCTTTAAGCTTTTCAAAATTAAAAAGAGTTCTAAAGCTGATTTATTCTATTTTTGAATTTTTGAATGTGTGTGCCGGTGGGACCTGTAACCAAAAGTTTCCATGTAGAGTTCTGCTGATTTTCCAGTTCTCCCTCCGCCCAGACTTGTCATGCATTCCACGCCCACTGAGCATGCTCAGTCCACACTGGGTTCTTTTTGAGTTCCCAATCTTAGGATTCTTTCTGAAAGTTTTTATACCCCATTGTGCACAGCTGGTACCGTTTTGGCTCTGTAATAAGCACTCAAGGCCTGAAAGCCAGAAATGGAGAAGATTTTGTTTCTTTCAGCTCTGGAGTGTATTTTATTGATCCAGAAAAGGAGGGGGGGCATGAGAAAACTGTGTGGAAGCTGTCACCATTGTCGGAAACTGTGTCTTGAGGCTCACATGAGAGAAGTATAGCAGTGGAGAGAGGAGCACATGGAGTCTGGGATGTATTGCTAGCTTGTTAGATGGAATCTTGTTTGGCCACCTGGAATGTCTCTTTGAGAGCTTATGGCCACAGCCCCAAAGAGCAGCAGAAGTGTTACTGTGGATGAAGATCCTAGCCCACTCTCTGATGACTCGGAAGTGTGGGGTACTTGCTTCTGAGTGGATTCACTGGAGAGAATAGCTGCAGCCTGCCTGGACCACAAGCTTAACGTGAGTCAACAGTGTGATGTAGCAGCGAAAGAAGCTAATGCTGTTCTCCTGGTATGCCCCGGGGAGGACCTTAAGGTCCACAAATGACAACATTTTGGAGGTCCCAAGTCGCAAGGTGGTTAGACTGGTCTCAGCTAGGGCCAAGACCTTTTCAGTACTGGCCCCGACTTGGTGGAACGCTCTGTCACAAGAGACTAGGGCCCTGTGGGACTTGACATCTTTCCGCAGGGCCTGCAAGACAAAGCTGTTCTGCCTGGCCTTTGGTTTGGACTCAGCCTTGTGTTTTCCCTCCCTTATGGTTTTGATCTATGGGCTACTTTTAAAATGAGGCTGCATTTTAAACTGCGTTTTAACCTATATTTTAAATTGGGGTGTTTTTTGGGGGGGGGGTTGGCATATTATGTTTTTACTGAAATTTTATTGGTGTTAGCTGCCCTAGGCCCGGCTCTGGCCGGGGAGGACGGGGTATAATTTTTTAAAATTTTTTAATTTTTTATTAGGCTGCATCAACAGCTTCTGACTGGATCCTGGAATGTCCCATTTTTTGGTCCCTTTTTTGGTCTCTGGCATGAGACAGCCGACTCACACCAGACCGTCAGTCTGAAAGACATCTCGTTTTTGGGTCTCACTCTCTGCCACAAATCAACTGGCTTGCGCCAGAGTGCCGGACCAAAAGACACTTGTTTTTTCGGTCTTGCGCTCTCGCACGGATCAGCTGGCTCCCACAAGGGCTCAGGACCAAAACAAAAAAGAGCATTGCAATTTTGATCAGTGGGATGTCGAAGGGTACACATGCTGATGTTCAAAGCAGAGGAGGCCCAAGCCAGAAGGAAACAGTGGCAATTTATAATTACACAACACCCTGGAGAGAACACACTTGAACGGTACCAAAGCCCCTGATGATCTTTTGCTAGGAGTTGGCGGTGCTTCACAGTGTTTCCTCTTGTTTTCGTGTGGTTCACCGAAGCAGATCTCTTTCCTTCCTGTCATCTTGCGTGACTAAATAACTTCCCCATGTGCAGCAGGGAAATGGGTATCTGAGGTGGGGGTGGGGTGGGAGGCAGAAATGTCACACGTTCATTCGGGCAAGGCAATGGAAAGGGGACTTTACACAAGCAAGTTTCAGTTCTGCCGGCCACGCCTCACCCCTCCATCGCCATCTTAGCTTTGAGACCCTCGTTGGTCTCTGAGGTTGTACTGACTCCAAGGACCTTGACCATAGCTGTCAACTTACAGATTTGAAAATAAGGGACCAGCAGCCTCAAAAATAAGGGATCAGCAGCCAAAATAAGGGATCAACAATTAGATTGAGAAAATACATATTTTGTTGCGTGCAAATGGCTTTAGATACCTATTAGGTCCATAAATTACCATATAGCATATATTCAACACAAAAAAACAGCAACAATTTGTTGTTGACAAAGCACAGCTGGACATAGAAAGGGCCCCATTACCTTCAGTAGCTTATTTAAGGGACATCATCAATAAAGGACAGCAGAAGGACATGGCACTGGGATAAGGGACTGTCCCGCCAAATAAGGGACACTTGACAGCTATGACCTTGACTGCACGTTCCTTTCAATGGGTGGCGATTTCTTAGCCCTTCAGTGAAAAAGTGTATTAATTCAAAATGGAAAACAGCAAAGAAGCAGAAACCCTGTCAGAAAAACAGACCCAGAACTTCTCCTGTTTCAGCCCTTGTCATGCCTTCCATCCATTTCCCTCCTCCACACAGATATTTTTCCTCCTTTCGGTCTGGTTTGTTGGTTCTAGGGAGGGAGTGAAAATGCTGCACGTTTGCATTTTAATTCCAGCCAACGTAACTGTTTTCTTAATATTTATGTGCCCGGTCATTACCTGCTCCCTGGAAATTAAATCCCACCCACCCTCTCCTCCCTCTCTTGCATGTAATAAGATACTAAGGCAAGGGCCGTGTTTCGATAAACAGATGGATGTCGCCTGCAAGGTGATGAGGGCGGCAAAGATCAGAGCCCCCCCTAACACAACCCACAGTGGTCAAGGGGTCAGCTAAGGATTGTGGGGCTATATCTGCTGACAGGGGGCTCTCCAGCAAGAGACAGAGAGCTGAAAATGGAGGCAGGGCTCACCATCAGAATCAAGCTCTGGCGAACCAGTTTTCAGTCTCTGGGCTCAGTTATTTTATTTACAGATTTATACCCAGCCCTTCCGTGAAAAGGATCCGGGCAGCATGTAAAAGTCTACACAAAAACATCCTCAAACACAACTGCATTTCTCTGAGCATGTGCGTGTTAGAGGTCTTTGTCAGGTACCGTATTTCTCACTCTATAAGACGCACCAGACCATAAGACACACCTAGTTCTTAGCGGAGGAAAACAAGAAACAAGAAAGCAACACAAAGCCTCTTGAGCGAAGAGGGAGGAGCGCTCCAGCTGTGCTCCAGAGGCTTTGCGTGGCGAAGCCAGAAGAGCAAGAGGGATCTCTGCGCACCGATCCCTCTTGCTCTTCTGGCTTCTGGGATAGCTGCGCAGCCTGCATTCGCTCCATAAGACGCACACACATTTCCCCTTACTTTTTAGGAGAAGAAAAGTGCGTCTTATAGAGCGAAAAATATGGTGCTGGCATAAAAAGGGAGACCATCTTTGGATGTGAGCTCAGCATCTTTCCCTCAGTGCTTAAGTCACGCCACCCAACATACCTCACACTCCCGTGATTGCAATATTTCCACAATAAAAATGGCAGCTTCAAGGATCCTGTTCCAAGCCCAGCATCGTTCATTTTACAAAATAAATACTGTACTTGGGTATGACAAAAACAAAACAAAAACAAGACAGAAAGAAGGAAATTCCTAATTCCTTTGCAGGCTCT